GTTTGTCATGTTCTAATACTTTGGTATGTTCTGTATACTTGGTATATCGCTTTCATTGCCGATGGATGGAATCTTAGTAATCTTTCCCTTCATGCCACACTTTACGTCCAAGGGGTATGTATAAAAAACGACTTTTCTACATTATACGTAGGTAGTTTAAGTATAAGGGATTTACTTATTATTTATTTTTTTCTTAAATATTTTTTTGTTAATATTTCTACTTTTACTAACAATATCAACTTAGATAAATATTTCCTTTATATCCCTTTTAATTTAAATAAACACTTGCTTATTATTAAACAGTATGCCATATTTTGTATTATCAAGGGAAATTTAGTTGCTTTATAAGCGTGTGAATTTTCTGTTTTTGTATGTTTTTCTCTTTAAATTATGAAAAATTATATCTTTTAAAGAATATCTTACAAGATAAATATTTAGATTAATAAGACGTGTTACTATTAATAAAATTTGAAAAAAAAATTAAATTTGATGTGTACAATATAGGTGACTTTATTTTATTTTATTATTATGGAGTGCTTACAATTAAAACGGCCGTTATGAATGTGTAAATTATCCTGAATATTTGAACCCATTTTATTATATTATATTTATTAACAAATAGATAAAATAGTCTACAAAGTTACATAAATATGACTCGGTCGTGTTTTGGAAGGGGGGGGGTGCTTTTTGCTATCATCGTTCATTTTTGACATGTTTAAAAACATTTTTATCATACAAACTAATCAAAAAGTATTACCAAATGCATTTAAGATCTAAAATGCGTGATCATATTAGGGATTACATAGATTGATAAATCAAATTTTGATCTCCTCGTTTAAGTAGGCAATGCTACTAAAATATAATTTATAGAACGCGTTTGTTGGTCCTTATATTTTACAAATTTAAGGGTGAAATTTTAAAAATTTATTTTATAGTATAGTAGAACCTCTATAAGTCAAACATCAAGGGAGTTTATGGAGGATTTTGATTCGACTTGTAGAGGTTAAGATTTATTCTTACTAATTTTGAGTTAGATAGGTAAAATAAATGAAAGTTTTCTTCGAAGTATAGACTTAATAAGTTTTAAGGGTTGTAAAATAAAACATTGCTATGCTCGAGATACAGAGATCCAATTTAATTTTTCGAGTTATAGTGGGAAAATATGTACCAAAATGGCTTACAGGGACTAATAGAGGGTTGAGATTTCGAGTAATAGAGGTTTTGGGGCTTGAAGGAAAGGGAACAAAACATTTCTTCGAGTTTTTGAGATTTTCGACTTATCGAGGTTCGACTTAAAGAGGTTCGACTGTAGATTATCCCGTTGTATCAGGTTCAGGTGTTCAAGTTTCTAGACTTAGGGGTTTCTGCCTTCATATATCAGTCAGTCAGTTTATCTATTTATACATACAGATTACGATTTCCATTTGTTGGCCAGTAACTTATTTTACATTTAATGGTTTACTTTGCTGTTGTGTCTAGAGACGAATTGTGGAAAATGCAATTCAAATAAAAAATAACCCTATAACGATAAAAAGAGTCTACAGATAACGATGTTTTCAAGAGTTTCTGAAAATAGTTAATGTTAATTTTATCTATTAATATGTGTAAACAAACAAACAAACAATTTTTTTACTAAATTTAAGTATACACTGTCTCATAGCAAATAACGCTTTTGGGACTTCCCAGTATGATAAATATGGCATGTCATTAAAGAATATTAACAACAAAGCAACACATAACAATAAGAAAAAGACAATATAATTCGATTCACTCTATTTTTTTCATTATAAATGTCGATTAAAATGATTGAGTTTACTGTAGTGTCTTCGTTATTTCGGCCAGATCTTTTTTTTTTTTAGTTTAAGTACAAAAGGTTTTAAAATGTCATATGTATAATAAAAGGCTAGGAAATTGTATGATTCTTAAAAGCATTGAATGTCATCATTTTTAATCAATCTTTTTTATACATTTTGTTTAAACAAAGAAACGGCTCGATACTATTAACATAAGCGTCATTGGTATACCTATTATTAATGATAGGAATTAGGGTTTAAATAATTAATATCTTTCTATTGTTACGTAAATGCTAGATTAATACGTGAACTAGATACATAAACGTCGAAATTTGTTCTATATTTTTTCGGCATTTATTATAAAAGATATGGGAAGGTAAAATTTAATTTAAATGATTTGTAATTAATGCTCGCTTGTCACACGGGATGCTCGGGCTCGATTCCCGGCCTATATAATCTTTTTTCTTTTCATTTAAATACAATAGTCAAATATCCACTACACGCGTAATGATTAAACCATATGCTTACTGATAAGGATAAGGATCAGAATCAATATAAAAATTTTAGCAACGTCATTCTTATTTAAGTAACATCAAGTAACTGACAAAAGTGCCTACCGTAGGAAGCTGAGATAAAACTCGCTTGTTTCAGTTGCTATTGTTGATTCGCTTGCTTTTGTCTTCAACAATGTGATCGGCTAGATAAATTTATTGATTAAAAATTTGCGTTTGTAAATGGATATTATCAATTAAATTACCAAGAGATTTAAAAAAAGACCTTTATCATTTTTTTTTAATAAAACATACGTACTTAATTAAGTAGTTGCACCTACTTCATCAAAGAAACTTTTTATCAATTTTTTACTGATTCCATTCCTCTATTATTAATCCTTTATCTACTATTATGCAGTACTTATAATCAAGTAGATTGTAATTGAGATAAAATATTGCCTTTTACGATAATTCGACAGTTTCTGAGAGATAAAAATTATTTTACGTGACTGATTTCTAAATAATTTTGTATAAAAAACAATCATCAATTTATTATCTGTTTAATAGTTGTTGGTATGGTCCGTTCATTTAGTGAAAGGTACAGCGTGGGCGATACGCGCAAACGAATATCGGTCGTAGATGGGTTCTCGGAATATTTCCGATCTAAGCCTAATCGTAAGCCTCTGGCGTCGTAAAAAAATGGAGGCAGTCCGCCCATACCAATTTACCAATGTGCACCTTTCTCTATGTGAACGGACTCTACCGAGGGCCACATATTAATTGGTCCGATAGGTTAATTTTCTAATCTAATATACGTGTAACTTAAAAAAAGACAAGGGGCACCGATTATAACTGCTAAGGAGCAAAACAAGTTTTTTTAATTCCACTTATGCTTGTGATATTTATATTATTTATTTTTTTTGACTTAAATTAAACAATTTTGGTGTTGTATTTTTTTATCAGACACTGTATTCAAACAACAAGTACTAAAAATAGAACCTTTTGCAATAAAGTGCTTTCAGCCCAGGGCAAAGCCTAATTCTTGCTCTCTAACTATTGCTGTCACTGATGTCAATGCTTCAAAGCGCATAAATATAAACAATTAGAATCAAAACGTTTTTCAAACAATTTTTAACACAAAGAAAGTGATTAAACAAATTGTTCACAAAAGTGAATTTCGACCACTCGAAGCAATGGTCCTAACAGTTTCGAGCTCACAGTGATTGGTAAGGGGAAGAACTAGTCTGTTTAATATTGATTTAAAATGTCTTATAAACATAAAACTTAACAATTAAAAAAAATATTTATTATAACAGCTTTTTCAAACAAAGTTTAATTGCTGCCTGTATCAAAAAATTATCGGTGTGCAGGATTTTTAAACTTCGTGAAACAAAATCTGTTTCAACTTTTTGAAAATATTGCAGTAGTTCAAAAAAAAAAATTCTATTAACTTGCTGTTAATATTACAGTAGATTGATACGGGAACATCGAAGTTTGTTTATTTTTTTTTATAAAAGAAGGGGAATTTGAAAATTACCTGCTATACCATAGATTTGCAAACACGCGAGCGGCACGGGTTCTATTCCCGAACGATGAGATGTTTTTTTCTTTTCTCATGTTAAGTAAAATAAGTTGTAATTTTATTAAATAAATTGAAAATTACATACGTTTCGCCTCACAGAGACATCATCAGATCACTGTAAGTTTTAAACAAATTAAGAGTGAAAAATGATAAACTAGTAGGTGAAGTAAATCAAACTAGTACTACTATTATTATATTATAATTATTGTAGTGTAGTATAGTGCCTCTAATAAATTTAATTTGTAACTCTTTTGAGTTTTCTGTATACAGTTCTAAAGTATTAGTGTGGATAGAGGTTAGTATTTTGAAAATCAAAATGGACTTAAGTATGTGATTAGTTATAATTGAGTACGGCATAAACGGATTACACAGAATAAATCACATTTAATCTCCGATAGAGAATAACTTTTGATTAGAAAAAATCTTTAAATCCACCGCGATTAATCTTTTTGACGAGACGTCTGAATTTTTGATTTAATACAAATATACTTATTGTAGCTAAATAATTTTGTCACTGTCCTCATAATTATCGATATCTATTCTTTTTAGAAATAAAATACGAAATTGTTTACAGGATCACTTACCCTTTAATATTGGTTTTTCTGAAATGCAAAATTGTACCGAGTATTAAAAAATTTGAACATAATAAATAATCTCTAAATATTGGATATATACTTAGTTTGTAATATAGTTGGTTTTCCGATTAATAAATTTCCAAATATTTGCCCTTTGTGTTTAACCGAAGTAATTTTGTAACTTTTAACTACTTTTTACCAAGCAGTG